CTGTAAAACTTCTTCTCCTAGTTGTGTAGAGCGAGAAAGGGAGAGGAGGAGCCCACCGATTGTGAGAAAGTGACACGTGTCGTGCCAGCTCATCGTCTACAATTGGTGGCTTAACTAGAGCCCATGTATCTGTGACCGCCACGTCTCGTTTAGAACCAAGTCAGCATAAACCAGCACGTGCCGAGTTAAAGTCGTGCGTGCGAAGCCGAATTTTGGGACCGCTATATCTCAGAAAAATGGGAAGTAAACGGCGCAGAGTTTAAGGTGAAGGTCGGTTTTCGGAAGAGCTCAGATTGTGACACGTGGATTGATTTTATTGGATCTTTACGTGGCGATGTATTAGCCATGGGATTAAGTGGTGTGTAACTGGTTTGGATCATACAAGTTGAGATTTTTAGTGTATCCGCCAACACACAATCAATTTTTGGTCTTGATGAACATTTAATTGGGCCGGGTTTTATGGTTATTAAATGGGCCGGTTAATTATAATAATTGGGCCATTCATATGAAACACGCCATTTATTATAATAGGAACTGTTCATTTCTAAAATTAATTACCTGAAATGTATTTAGTAAAATATGGGATCAAAGGTCATGTAGCATGAAGGATTCGAAAATTTCGATAGTTAAAATAGTTATTTATATTTTCACTAATTTACATATTAAGTTTGCTATGGAAAGTTCGGATTATTCGGATAACTTTGAAATATGTAATATTTTAAAAAATTTAAACTCAATGGATAGTTCGGATAACTAAAACCTATTTCCAATCCAAGTTTCTACTTGTTAGAATGTACATAGCCTAGCCGTATCATATATATTTGAATGAGAAAATTGATTTACGGTATAGTTAGAGGGACAATCGAGCTCATGCATTTTGTTTAAAGATGTACTTGGGTTACATAATAATATTTACGCATTGAAGATTAAATAAATAAATCAGGTACAAATATGTCGAGATTTTCTTTTTTGCTCCAATCCCAGCTTCGTTTTCGGTATATAAACACACCACATCTTTAAAACATTTACTTATTCCTCCTTTTAAAAGTGGATTCCCCATTCCCTACAATAAAAATACTATAAATTAATGTGTAATTATGGAAGTTATTACAAGTATCAGAACAAAAACATATGTAATGTTTGTTATTTCTCCTCTTTAAACAAATGTTGAGATTCAGATCTTATATACGGACCATCATATATGAGAGACCTTAATTATTGGTTGGATTGAAAGTTTACCAATATTGCACCACTTTTTATATAAAATCACAGTATTGTATTACGTACTATCAAATGGATATGTGTTATTAGTGCCATATATTTTTTCGTTAGTAGTATATAAATTAAAATTCAGTCTTTGTAATGAAATTTATGAAATCCACTTTACTAATATCAATCAATCTATAGTATGCTCTTCTAAAT